ACCCGAGGCTGTCACCTCAGATTAATGTCCCAGCTGGTCTTGGAACTAGTGGTAAATTTTTTGCTGCCGATAGGCATGTGGACGAGTCGGTTAGGATGCTCGTTAAATGATGATGAAACAGCCTGGAAATGATTGCCTCTGATTTTGTTTAATTTAATTCTGCGTGCAAATATAAAACTTGAATTTTGTTTGTACGGTTACAAAATCTGGCATATTTATTACCCCCAAGGCAAGTTTTTCCGTATATTTTCTCAAAATTAGACTCAGAATGCCAACATAATAAAAAGAGTGAAATTTATACACAAGCTGTCTGCGTACAAGTGTCCGCTACCATAATTCTATTGTGTATCTAAAATTGGAGAATTTGAGTTCCCTTTACACATTTCATTACGTAATATTTAATAATTTCAATTTTCTGTGCTTTATGCAACTCCATGAGGCAAATATCTGAAGTTGCTCGGCTATGCAAGACAATTCCCCGTCTCTTATAGAACCCAAAGATTCGTTGCCGAGAGCACGACATTCCGACAGTGGACCCTAACCACAACCCACGACCTGACTCCCTTTAATATTATCCTACAATCTATGTGTAATTCTTCCAAGTTGTCTTTGCCTTTCAGGTTTTTACCTCTGATATTTGTGACGAGTAGAAATTATGAAACTTTTCTTTACGTGAATTTCTCCAGCCTCTAATGGCTCCCTCCGCGGCCTAAGTATTTTCCACAGCACCCCCTCTTTTCAGACATCCACTAAGTGTAACGAATTCTTCTCGGGCTACCAGCCGAGTCAGGTGGTTGAATCAGGAAAATGGTAGCGATTCGAGAACCATCTTCGTCACTGTCCTCAGGGTACTTAAGTACCTTTCATCCACCTGACACGACTGGTATCTCGAAAAGAATTTATTATTCACACATAATATTCTTCCATAAATCGTTGTAACTTATAAATGTTTTCCAAAACATTTATACAAACTACTGGTAATGAGTTACAAAGTAACAGCTTATACTGTCTAGTAATTAAAATCAAATTCTTTGTCTGGGGCACGCAATTATCTCGTGTGGTCACAGTTTATTCATCCGGAGATTTTTAATATATTCGGACAGACAGAAATGTTTTCGAATTGAAGTGGACGCTTCACGAAGTTCGATCTTTGTGTGCAGACTGGATCGCATCTCTTCACTCAGATCAATCACGATGGAACGCAACTCGGGTGACGCAAAGCGAAGGGACCGCGAGAGAATCATGGTGCAGGAGGGAATCGAGTTGTGGAAACAAAAGAAGCAAGTCGATCAATCGAAGAGAATACAGGAACAGCGAGAGGTGAGGAAGGACACATCTGTGCAGACTACTTTGAGATGGAATAGCGATAGTGTGTTTCGGGGGGCGATAGATTCGAACCCGGAATCCGCGCACCTTTTTTTAGCGCTAGTAGTAATTCTACATAAAGAATTTTCGATACTACGAATATAATTATATTACGTCAGTCTTAATTTTCGTGATCATTAAGTGAGGAGTCTGTGTATTGATTTCTGATAGCTGCGTGAGATGCTGTCACAGTATTCGCCTTGGGGCCGACCGGGTTGTGGAGCGCCCAACGCTGATGGAATCCGCAAAAGAAAGCTTCATCAGCAGGGCCTATTCGCCGAGGAGGACAAGGTACAATGAATGACTCTTTAAATTAGTAAATTATTATATTTCCTATGTCAATATCCAAAATCACGATTTGAAAATTAATTTTACAGATATAAAACATCCAAGCACAACCTCCAAATTTAAAGGAAGATACTTAAAATCAAACAAATCAATATACGCAACGCAAGATGTGCAACAGTTTTTAAAATTGATAGACCTGATGATGATGTAATACACATCGAAACATGTCGTCAATACAAAATGTAACAAGATACAGTATCTACTGAGAATGTTATAATTTTAAGTAATTTTAAACAACATTATTTTAAGTTTGTGTATAGACGGAAAATAAAATATTGTATATGTTAGTATTTAATATATTCCTCGGTTGAAATTTGACGGGGTCCCGTCCGTTTTTCAGAAGAACCTTGGAGCCGCCACTGATCGGTCTTGGAGTAGTACGCCACAGAGGGGCAGCTCCGGGCAACAGAAACAAAAGAGCACCGCGTACAAGGCGGATCCCATCTTGCGTTTCCAATTCAACGAGCCGGTGAGACGTTGCGTGGACAACGTCCTGAGATACAGGAAAAATAACCAGGACAAACAGGCTTATCGCCAAGAGCTAGGTAAGGGACAATGACAGGACTATGCGAGGGGCAGAGACCGCCTGAAAGTGTCGTTGTGTAACGTGGTGCTACTCTTTTAGACGCTCTGGTGTCGGAGAAGAGGCGCGCGCAGAAGGAGGCGACTACCCGCGAAGCACAGTTGGAGAACAAGCTGGTCAGTACAGACTCCACTGTATATGTTTCCAGATAGGGTCCCTTCTCCTCTAACTGGTACCTGTGATTGATTAACCCTCATTTCCAGTTGGAAATGGCGTCCCCCTGGGGGCGCCCCGGCCCTGGGGGGTTCTTGTGGAGGGACCGACGAACAATTGGCTTAAATTTTCTACATTCGTTGGTATGTTCATTTGTTCGTCTTTCACTTCTGTAGTAGCCATGCCACGTCTCTATGAACGATTTCTGCTATAAAAAAAAAGTGTTAAATCACTTGGCCACTCGAGGAATCGTAAAAGCCAGCTTATTCCTTTTATTTAAAATGATTGTATGATAAAAAAAAAACGTCCTTCGTTCCGATTCCAGTCAAGTTTAAATTTAAGACCATCGTCTGATAAGTAGATAAGGACAGCAAGACAAGCAAACAGGTGGCTCTTTCTCGCGGTAGAAATAGAAAATTCACAGTTAAGTTGGTTCCGGCGTGTAAGTGGGAAATGCAGGACACTGTAATGAAGTAAGGCATACAAAGGGTCCGGAACATACTAAAAGGGGTTTTGGGGGTATGGAATAATATGACAAATTCAAAATTAAAGTCAAATACTGGGTAAAGTTAACAGTTTTTTTTGTGATATATGATACACGTCGCTATTTAATTAGTTTATGAAGGGCAGTGACATGATACTCAATATCGAATGAAACTCAGTGTGACCGGCAGATTTAATTAATAACTGAACATAAAGATGTCACTACAAGAGTCAGACCGGTTGAAGAGCATATTGTTCATATGAGACGAGGCGACACTTTGCACACACCAGACGTGAAAGCAAGAGATTAAGATGGCACATAATCGGCGTACCACGTGCACGAGGCATGATGAAGCTAGTTTCAAAACTACACCTGACGTATGTTTGTGTGTGAGTGCGTGCGTGCGTGCGTGTATAACGTTCCGTTCTGTCGTTTCACGTATTGAGGAAACTACATATGAAGTTACGCAGTCATCTATCAATTGCAAGGAGATGAAAGGAAAGCACGAAAAAAGAGGAATTAGTAAAAGAAAAATATAATAATCGAAAAAGTTAAGATAACCCGATGCATGGCTCATAAACCAACTGTCAAGCACGGTTTGCTGCTGTCGGTGAGACCGGGGCCAAGACGAACACTTCGCCGGCAGTCGACGGCCCACCTCCCGCCCCGTGACTTCGTTTACATCCCCAGCCGCACTTCAACTAAATTCAACACAACCTGTTTACACTTTTTCGGGGGTTCTTACAACCATCCTCTCCCCATACATCTCTCTCGTTTACCTGTTTCATTTAAAAGTCGAATGACTGCATGTGGTCAAAAGCTGCCTTTTCCTGTGACAGGATATTTTATTCTTAAGGCTGGACGCTCAGAGAATGGGATGGCTTGGAACGGGGGATCGACTGACCATTTTTTGTTCTGATTTAGCATTCAGATACAGCTCTATATTAAAAGACAGGGGGGGGGAGTTTTTTTTAAATCGCTTAACAAAAATTGTATTTTGTTGATACATTCATGAATCAAGTATGAAAGGTGTTTCTTCTGCTGCAAAATATTATAAAGTTATTATTACTTTGAGGTACTTTGAGATATTTCAAGAGAACGGAGATATGAACCCTCAAATTCCACCCCGTCTCCACTTTCGCTGTTCCTTCACGTCACAAAGACACAGAATCTGAAATATGTTACGTATTTTTTTTAATTTTTTTTCACAATACGCGCCATTTAACTACTGAGTCGTCCTACAGTAGAATTTCATAACCAAAGCGGGCGTAGTTGCTTTGCGGACATCTATTCAAAATGCGATTTTATAAAGATCTTGGGTGCCCTCCTCTACAGCAGGGATGCGGGAACAATGCGTTGGATGTGGATTCTGCACGTAGAAAACAAATTACACGCACATTTGCTACGGGTAAGATGGGACCAGTCCTAAGCTGGTTTCTTGTGCGCAGGTTCTGGAAGGTGTGGAGCTCGTACCCCTATTGGCCCGCAGAAGAGCCGTGGCCGATAGACACCCTCTTTCCTCCACAGACGTAACCCGGATCAGAAACTTCAAAGGGTGAGTATGAGAGGTATCTCACCCCTTGTGCTACGTCGATGAACATTATTGTACTAAATGACGATACAATTTAGTTCAGAATTTTATTTTCAAATCTCATTATAAAATTTCCTTACGGACTACATAAAAAAAAAACATCTTCACGGCTTCAGAAGCCAGATTCCCGCCAAACTCAGACATCGCCAGACCCCACCGTAGGCTTTACCACACCCTCGTCTACATTTCTTACTACCAGAGTTCCCACCGTCAGATTCTAAATTATTCTAGCCTCGGACAATTAAGCATGACGGACATTGGATATTATATCAGTAGATGACTTTTTCTGTTAGGTACAGTTTGTTACGAAAAAGCGAGCGCGTGTTATCGGGTCGATACGTTCTGTTTCAGACCCGCGGATTGTCAGCGAGCGGTAGGAACCCACGAGTATGTCCAGGAGTTGTCCCAGCAAGTGATGACCAAGAAGGACCGCGTACAGGTTAGTGCAAAACTGTCACGAAGCCCTGCGACCTCAGGAAAATTTACTTTCTCGTCACACAGCTCAGCATTGGGAAAGAAATTTTCTCCCACGATCCTTTACTCTTCGAGTTCTTCAGATTCTGTCCGAAACTGGCCCCTTGAACAATTAAGGAATTCATACCATTCATTATCCATTTCAGAGCATGTAATATTATTGGTCCTGATTTAAAAATGGGAGAATGAAAATAAACTCTTTAGATTAGGTCCAAAATTTTGTCTCACTCTGAAGGACAGATAGAAAATGTAGTACAGTCTGAGCTCAACTAATGTCTTTACGACGATGAATAAAAGATTGTTAAGACGGGAATAACATGTGGAGAAATGAAAAATAAGTGATTTTTCTTTGGGTCATAGAAAGCCCACCAGGAGGAGCTAGACAGCTGCCGGCGCCATTTCGAAACCTGGCAGCAATTCTGGGGGCGCCCGGGGCACGGGGCCCCACGCGATGTCAAAGTCAAAGGAAACATTGACATCCTGCTGCATCGGCTTCCAGTGAACTGATGAGAAATTCGAATATCCTGCCACTTCTCGTGTTTCCGAAGAACGACTTCGTTTAAAAATGTGTACTATAATGATGAATATTTTGGAAATTTTAGTTATACGAAAGTCCTGTAGGCGTCTTCACCTGTTTGTAATGGTGATGACAGTTTTATAAATTTCAGCTCATAGGGCTTCGACAGATACCAACTCCTCCGACTACCAGACGTAGGGACACATTAAATTTACTGTGTAGTTACAGATGAAAAACTAAAATTCAATTCTCGAGTTCCGTGTTAAAAACACAAATTTATATATAAAAAAAATTACATTTACGAGTGATCCGTCTCTTAAATATTTGACATTTAGTCTCGAAATCACCGCGACAGAACTCGAGTTGCGTTGACGCATTCCAGAAGTAAGAGTAGCTACGTGTTCCCTGACGTGCAAGAGGGGCTTCAGCGCGTACAATCGCGAATGCAATCAGCCTGCGTTTATCTCCGGTGGCATGTCGGACCGCGTAATCGCCCGGAGATACTCCTTCTGGATCTAAACCTGTCTTGCACGAAAGGCAACGCAGTTACATGCAGGTCATCAGGTCGCCGAGGCAAGGCGCTGGCCGTCAAAGAGAAAATGAACGCAGGTGTTGACTGACGGATGTTTTGGAAATCTGCACGTGTTTGACTGTCGCCAGCTAACGAGGTTCGTGATTTGTACAAAGATGCGTTGTAGCTTATTCTTTTTGGGCCCGGGAGATTATAAATCCTTCGAAACTGTGGCGGAATCAGAACCATTGGGAACGATAGCAAAATCAAAATTACATTCACGAAAAGTGAAGGAGGGATAATATTTGGGGAGTTGTTGTTACCTTGCAGTTCAGAATCTTCTGCCTTGCGGCGTCTCGCATAAAAATACGTAAAGGTGTCCGTGAGGGAGTGTGAGAGCAGGTTGCCGGGAAGAATATTTCGACCTAACGAGAGAGTGGACACTTCAGAGTTTCTAAAATTCATTAAATATTATTAGGAGGTCTAAATCAAGGGGGTTGAGACGTAACCTTACATGGTACTGTAATACTAACATTGATATTGAGGAAATTGGAAGTGAGAGAGTGGAGTGGATTCATCTGGCTCAGGATATGGTACAGTTCCAGGTTCTCGTGAAAACGGCAATGCAAATTTTGGTTCCGTAAAAGGATAGTTTTTTTTTTTTAAAAAAAATTAGCCTAGAAAGAAGGAGTCTACTGTCTTGAGCTATATAAGTGGATGATATGGCCCGCGTTAATTTTCGTGACAGTAAATGCGAAACTTAGTAACAAAACTTGAAAAACAGAACGAGTAATTACGAAAATTGACGTCATAACCGTGGATTTTTTTTAAGTGTAAGGCAATATACGTAGGCGTGAAAAAAGTGTTAACTTTGAAGACGAATTCTTCTTACTTGCAGCCGTGTGGACCTGAAATCTCACCTAATACGCGCCTTGACTTGGCTGCGGTGACTTAGCGTGCAGCTAAGATGTTTCCAGCCAATTTCACTCTCTGTGTTTACTTTCTGGCTTCAACCATCCGCCCAGCTGCAGGTGGACGTACAGGGCGATAACTTTTATAACGGATGCCTGCGTTACCGGACCCGAGCGGACAAATTCTCGCCAAGGACACTCGCACTTGCCTATCAAAAACATAATATCTTTCAATTTGCTTTCTGAATAAAATATGTTAATATTTTAATATTTTCCGTCAAATAACAATTTTAATACGATAATAAAATATAAAATATTTAAAATATTTTATTATCTTATTAAAATTGTGATTTGACGGAAAATATTAAAATATTAACCTAATTCACAATATGACGCAAATATACTACCTTATAAAATATGTTAGTACGTACATAAAGTATCTAAAAGAATTATGATCATATTTTATTCTCTTGTCACAGAAAACAACTCTGTGATATAACAGAAAAAAACACTTAATATTTAACTTATGACCTGAGCTCTAGAATTTATAATTCAGACAGCAAATGAAACTTTTGGGACATAAATTCAAAGTGAAAGTTCGGACGTACTTCTGATCTTTATCCCCCGAATTTCCTCACGATTCTTCATGCCCTATAACTTTGTTGTTTCGTGTGCCCTTCTTGCATTATTGTTATACGGAAGTGACTTAGAAATAAATTGGCGCATGCGTGTTGCCGAACATTAGGCGATGTAATAGTTCCCACGGTGTGACGAAATAATTTTAGTTCAACGTCAAACAATATTACGTCACCAGATAATTTTAACGAAGCGCTATCAGTGTACACGTTCAAGAGACGTGTAAGCAATAATACTAACCGGTCGCCATAATAAGACTCTTAATAAATGTAGAAAGTAGAAGTTAGCGTGTTTTTGTGAACACCCGGTATTCCTATGACAATCAGTCACTGGGTGTAAAAGGACCTTCCTTTCGTATCACCTGATACATATCAAATTATGATAATGCAGAAAACTGCCCTTATGCACTTCCTTTTTCGTTTATTTCTTGTTGGTAACACTGTTCAGCGTTTGTTTTGTTTAATCCATTATCAAATGTTCACAGTTACGAAAAATTATATGTACCGATATATTTAGAGTTACAATGTTTGTGAGAAATATATATAATGTACGTTGAATTGTTGTTAGATTCTGTTACTTGTAATGTTAATGACACGTTTTATGTTTATAGACAGAAATATAAATGTTTTGTGCAGAAACGAGTGCTGTTTCCTTATGTCATACCTGAAACATATTTACGAGGTGCGATCGGAAAGTTTCTAGACTGTGTCAATAGAGGGCGAACTGGATGTAGTACGAGCTTCTGCCTTTAGGGGGTGCGGCCTACATTCATAGTGAATCAGTGTGCCAGCTGGCATCATCGAATTAGCATTTGTTTCTTAGTTACGGGCGTTTTGGTAGTGCATTACACCGACCCTCCTGCGATTTCGGAATGGCGGATTTTCATGAACAAAGAGTGTGCATCAAATTTTGCCAAAGACTCGCCAAAACGGCTACAGAAACCTATGAAATGCTAAAGCAAGCATTTGGGGAGTCCGCAA